GGGGTGAGAGGGAAGCAAGAGTTTAGAGTGTTGGGTGAAGTGGGGAAAAAGCAAGGCTGGAAGGGCATGGGGTGAGAGGGGAAGCAAGGCTGGATAGGGCGTGGGTTGAGAGGGGAAGCAGGGCTGGGTAGGGCGGGTGGTGAGAGGGGAAGCAATGCAGTTTAGAGTGTCGGGTGAGTGGGGAAGCAAGGCTGGATAGGGCATGGGGTGAGAGGGGAAGCAAGGCTGGAAAGGGCGTGGGGTGAGAGGGGAAGCAAGGCTGGATAGGGCGTGGGGTGAGCGGGGAAGCAAGGCTGGGTAGGGCGGGGGGTGAGAGGGGTAGCAATGCAGTTTAGAGTGTCGGGTGAGTGGGGAAGCAAGGCTGGGTAGGGCGTGCGGTGAGAAGTGAATGGATGCTGGATATGGCGCGGGGTGAGAGGGGGAGCAAGGCTAGATAGGGCGTGGGGTGTGAGAGTGTAAGGGATGCTGGATGCGTGGTATGCCCGGTTGAGCAAGAGTGGAGTGGGTGTGGGGTGAGAACGGGAGCAAGTGTGGGTAGGGTGCTGATTGAAACGGGAGAACACGGCTGGAAAATACCCGTTGAGAGCGCAGGGTGCATGTTGGATAGGGCGTGGGGAGATAGGGGAAGCTGGGAAAATGGACAGGCCACGCAAGATTTGATGGATTTTCCAGCCGGGCAACGACAAAGCAACCCAACCAGCAGTGTCAAGAGTCCGGATCTAAGCACACAGCCTACCACCACAGCTCTGCACCCCTATGTCGGGCCGGAGTTGGGAAATCCGCGGTAGTGTCAAGAATCCGGATCTAGCCACACAGCCTACCACCACAGCTCTGCACCCCTATGTCTCCACCTCACCCACCCCACCTGATACAATGCTCCCTCCCTCTCTCTCGCCAATTGCCTCATACCGAGTTTAGCTCGCGAAACTCTACCATGGCATGATGCTGGGGCTGAAATTCAGTGGCTGGGGGGATTGGGCTTTTCAAGCATGGCATGTTGCATGTTTATTATGCATGATGTTGTGCTTCTGGGTTGATCATGCATTGCAACAGAACCAGGTGCACCACATCTCCCTGTTCAGCAAACCCCCCCCCCCCCCCACCTTTTCCGGTTTGCTATGCCTCATCCCGGTTTGTGGATAGGCTGTGGGGTGAGTGGGGGAGCACCGCTGCATAGTGCATGGAGTAAAATAGGAAGCGACGGTACAGAGGGCGCTAGGTGACCATGGGAGTAAGGCTGAATAGGGGCGTATAGCGTAAGCGGTGGGGGCGTAGATAGGCCGTGGGGTGAGAGGGGGAACGGGTGGAGAGAGTGGGGAGAGGGAAGGGAGCATGGATGGATAGGGTGTGGGGTGAAATGGGGAGCTAGGGTTCAGAGGGCTCGGGGGGACCACTGTAGCAAGGCTGGATAGAGTGCAGCCTACGAGAGGGAGCATCGGTAGATATGCTCTGAGGTGCGATGAGGAGCTAGGCTGTGGGGTGCGCGGTTGCAGGAGGGGAGCAAGATGGATAGGGCAAGATGCAGAGCAAGGTGGGAGATGCGGAGCAAGGGGCCAGCTGCGGAGCAGGGTGGGAGCAAGTGTTCATGTGATGTGGATTGGGAGGGTGAGAAAGGGGATATTGGAGGGTCATGTTTGGCAAGGAGGAGTTGCTATCCCTCGATTCAACCCATCCCCATGGAAATTGGCAAGCAATGTTCCACATGGGCTATGCTTGTCTTCACTACTTTGTGTGTGTGGCAGAAGGTGGTGGACAGTGTCGAGAATGTTGGGCGCGAGGCGGGCGGAACGAGCCCACATGGCGGGCAGCGTGGGGGATCTAGTAGACATGTGCATACCGACTGTCGGTAAGTGAGGGTACGAGAACAGCCTTGACAATGTAATGAGGGTTGCCCACTACGCAATCATTCATTTGTGGTGCCACGCCTCAGCCCCCACAGTTGGGTTGTTGGTGACGGGTGAAATATAATGGGCGCACCTGTTGTGCAAGGAGTGGATGATCCCTTGTGGTACTGGGTCGCGTTGAAATATGAGAACCATCACCAATGTCGTGAACCAAACTGCACATGTTGCCCCCTTTCTGCGCTCGTACAGGAGCCTTGTGGGGGACGGGCAACCCGCAATGCAGCACGGGCATGCCAAACATACGATGTGCGCCGACACAATGTAGAGTGGTCGTTACGAGCACCCATCTGCTACTTGTGCATAGGGTTGAGCGTGCTCATGCCTGGGCCGCGTTTGGCCACACTCAGTGACCTACTAAAGATCTACATGCACGCTGCCCCGAACGTAACAGCGAGATTACGGCAGGCTGCCGCGAATGCAGGTGAGCTGACGTGTGTACATCAACTCGTCAAAAAGTATATGTGAAGGTACGTGTATTGGAATAAACAAGGAACTAATGGTTCGTTTGTGCTGGTGCACAACGCAGGACCTCATGGGCACGCAGCCAATGAGGTGGTGAAACTACATCTTGCGGCTTCGTCCACTACGTTCTGGAAACGAATGGGCCGGGGTGCGGCGAAGATGGATGACATTCTGGACCGCGGGAATAGAGAGTTGGCTGGTGTGAATTACGACTTCCCACCCTGGGAGGAGGTGGGGAGGGTGGTATGCGGAGGGTCAACGGAAATGGATGGGGTGGCGCACGCAAGGGATCAAGATGGATAAATCATCAAGCAACAGGTGTGTGGATGTCTTTAGGATGACTTAGTGGTCGCGTCAAGTCGTTGAAATGGGAGATGAGACAGACATCGGTGCTAACGTGCGACAATGTTCCTGTGGATGGGGCCGCGCCGGCGGGAGCGAGCACGTCGGAGGAGTCGGACGACAGTTCGGCGACAGATACTGGAGGACAGCAGCGCGGAGATGGCAATGGGGGGGGAGGCTGCCATGATGCGCCGACAAGGGGGGGGAGGTTACTCGGTACTGCGAGGCAAGAAGGTCGTGATCCGGCAGCTAGGGGGGGGGGGTGGCTCGCATATGGGTGAGAGTGCTGAAGGATCTGGTGCCATGGGGCAGGTCCGAGAAGGGTCCCATGAACGGGGCACGTCTTGGAGATGGGGGGATATCTGCAAACGATGCAGCCGAGGCGGTCGATGTTCATGACGGGTGAGTGCTCTAGGATCCTGGTGGCAATTTTGAGAGGACCCTAAGATATTCGCGTGCGCAATCAATAGGAGGAATGCAACACCTAGAGTATCGTCCGCTTTGTCATGCAACTGAGTCCGACTCTGGCCACTGTACACCGCAACCGTGTTCTGTCATTCCGTGTCGTACTTGCAGATCAGCACCACGAGAGGGACCGGCCCCAAGGCGGGTGCCCGCAAGGGTGGAAATCCCATCCAAACTGGGACGACTTTCCATCGGACATGCTATGTTTCCTTGATCCGAGGGTGATGGTTTCCTTCTTTTGTGGCCGGGCGTTGGGTTACTGTCAGAAAAAATGGCTGTCAGGGTGAGATGATGCTTGCATCATGGAAGAGGTCGTGGGCGTGTTTTGGAATGCTGTGGATGTGCACCTCTTGTCCTACAAAGGATGAGATGTGGTCGACCAGTAGGGTAAGGGACGATTTGCCATCGAGTAAGCCTGGACCACGAACCCCTCCAGTGATGCATAAGCTTGTGGGAGCCTTTGCTCTAGCAGGAATCGGGTATCAACAAACTTGGGAGATATGTCGCAGCTTGGGTGTTCCACGTCCAGGCCATGGAACATTTTACCGCTTCATGGGTGGCGATAGTGGTCTATGGAGTGCGATCATAGAGCAGGCCAGAAAGCAGTATGGAAGCAGTTCGGGTGAGCATGTCACAGCGTCCAGTAAATAGAAGATGGCTGTGCATCGATGGTCGTTGGTCGAATGTTCGCGAAGCCAAATGGTGCACGGTGTCGTTCATGGACCGTGAATCCCGAAAAATCATGATGTGTAAAAACACTAGGAGAGGGAGGGATGACGACTCATCGGTGATGCTAGAGAGGGTAGCGTTCAACCAGGGCATGGACGAGTTAGTGAATAGTGGTTTTGGGCTAGAGGGCATTGTCACGGATGAGGGAAACACTTATAGTGGAGCCGCCAACGAGCGAGGTGTGAAGCACCAAGTAGATTGGTGGCATAAGTGTGGTTCTGTGGTCCGTAACTTTAGGGAAAAGGTGCAGGACGCGACTCGAAAGGCTGGCACGGTAGACGGGGCAATCGTATGTGAGGATCTATATCTAATCACAGTGAAAAAACTGTTAGAGTGGTTAGGGCATCCTTCCCGAGGCGGTGGGGGGTGAGCAGATCGGCGGGGAAAAAAGAAATCATTCGCGCAGTATGTCTTTTGCGTGCGTTTGAGTTCAAAGACATGAAGGAGTCGGATGCAAAGTATTTGCACCTAGAGCTGCAACAAGTAGTGAGGTTGGAAAGGGGAGTTAGGACAGCCAACAACACGGGACGAGGGGAAGTACCAAGGGAGCAGGGGGCAGGGGCGGTAGGAGGAGATGCGCCAGAGGAAAGTGAAAGCGACAGGAATGGAGGCATGGCTGAGGGGGGTACGGAGAGGATGCCGGACGCTATGGTTAGATGGTCCGATGTGGAGGAATTGTGGGATGGTGACGTCCATCCAGTGCGGGGGATACGGCCCCACTCGCACGCATCGATGTTGCTTGTCCAAGCATGGAACGCATCGGGGAGGGGCGTCACTTCATGATGGAAGACGATCAAGTACCAAATACAAACCCAGGTAATATGTAGTAGAGCTTTCTGTGTGGAGAGAAACGGCTATGAACGGATGTGCATGATCATTCAAATCGGTTATTGAGTTCATCTTGCAGTCGATCGGGTTCTCATGTGAGCGGCCAATCACATGCGCTCTGATTTTGTGCGTGCAGGCAACCAAGCCCACATGGGCGGTGGCGACATGGATGTGGAGGGAGAGGAAAACAACAGACAGGGAAGTGGGGCAGACGAGAACGTGGATCCGGCAGCGGGGACCCAGCAGCAGAGCGGCAGGCGTTGGGGTCGGCGAGCCCCAAGAAGACGGACGCGTAGAGGGTCGGCTGCCGGTGGGGAAGACAGCGGGGCACCACGGGGGGGCAAAAAGGTGCACACCGTGGCGGACAGGTTGGGCGTGCACTTTTATCATTGTATGCTGCGTAGCGGGGCACGGTCGGCTGACGGGAACACTCCGACTCCCGAGGAGGTATCGGAGGAGTTGTGCCTGTGTGCTGACCACTGGGCAGGGGATCACTCACGGTGTGGTGCACGGGCAGGTGCAACGCCAAAATGCGTGTCGGAGAACTGGGGTCCTGAGTGCGCTATATACGAGCGGAACTCCGCTACACACTTGGCAGTGAGGGATTGGTGTCGTAGGAACTTTAGTATAGCCAAGGTGGCTTGCATTGTGGAGGGCGCTACGAGTTCCATGAATGAGTCATTTCATTCGCTCATTCTGAAGTACGCCCAAAAGAAACAGGTTTCAAGGAAGCTATGACGCGAGGGTGGCTCTGGCAGTAATACATTGGAACAATTGCATGGACCGGATCGTGCGCGTTTTGTCACGCGTGTGCGTCATATCACGAGAGTGCGGCGCGGACGGAGGGACCGGGTACTGGGTCCGATGGACTGGTGTTGGGTCGACAACATCCTACACGAGTGGCGGCGACCCTCGGAGGAACAGACTGATGATGATCTTGCGTCGACGGCCATGAATGGTTCGCCTGCAACTCGGGCACAGACGGGGACAGCAACACTCAGACAGCAGTCTCGCCTCCCGACATTGCGTCTCCCGGAATTTCAGTGGGCTCCAACGTGCACAATTTGAGATCTTCGGCAGTCGACACGAGCCGCGCGACGCGAGCCCCGGCCTTGGGGCACGGCGCAGCCTAAACGGTGAGTTGTATCGTTATGTTGCCGTCAACCCGAGCCGTGCCTCCTAGCATGCCTTGTAACTTGGACTTGACGCACAACGAACCGCGAGCACGTCCCAACTCTGGTTGCCATGCACATGCTTCACGACACGTGTTGTCTGACTCTCCCCCCTAAACCGCCTCCCTCTCTCCCCTATTTACAAAAAGGGGCCATGGTCCTTATGCCACAATAATACCACAACCGCAGTGGAGTGTGGGACTTTACACTGCTCCAGTTTGGGGCCTCCACATAGTTCATCCGGCCTGCGCACGGTGAGCTGGTTCCCCCCCTGATGTAGGCCATTATCCCCGATGTCCTCCTGTGTGTGTCCTCCTCTCACCCATGCCCTAACCCTCCTTGCTGCCCCTCTGTCCATGTGCGCTAACCAGCCTGCCTCCCCCCTCACCCCATGCCTTAACCACCTTGCTGCCCCTCTGTCCCTGTGCGCTGACCACTCTGACTTCCCTTCTCCCCCCGTGCACTAACCACCATGGCTTCCCCTCTCCCTCCGGTGCCCTAACCCACCTTGCCGCCCCTCTTTCCTGTGCGCTAACCACCCTGCTTTCTCGTCTCACCCCATGCATTAACCCCCTCTTTTGCCCTCTGTCCCTGTGCGCTGACCACTCTGACTTCCCTTCTCCCCCCGTGCACTAACCCATTGTGCCGCCCCTCTGTCCCTGTGAGCTAACCACCCTGTCCTCCCCTCTCCCCCCAGTGCCCTAACCCACCTTGCCACCCCTCTGTCCCTGTGCGCTAACCACCCTGTCCTCCCTTCTCACCCCGTGCCCTAACCCTCCTTGCTGCCCTCTGTCCCTGTGCGCTGACCACTCTGACTTCCCTTCTCCCCCGTGCAACTAACCCATCGTGCCGCCCCTCTGTCCCTGTGCGCTAACCACCCTGTCCTCCCTCTCCCCCCAGTGCCCTAACCCACCTTGCCACCCCTCTATCCCTGTGCGCTAACCACCCTGTCCTCCCTTCTCACCCCGTGCCCTAACCCTCCTTGCTGCCCCTCTGTCCCTGTGCGCTGACCACTCTGACTTCCTTCGCCCCCCGTGCACTACCCACCTTGCTACCCCTCTTTCCCTATGCACTAACCACCCTGGCTTCCCTCTCCCCCAGTGCACTAACCCACCCTGCTGCCCCTCTGTCCCTGTTAGCTAACCCTGCCTACCCCTCTCACCCCATGCTCCAACCCACCTAGCTGCCCCTCTGTCCCTGTGCGCTGACCACTCTGACTTCCCTTCTCCCCCCGTGCACTAACCCACCTTGTCGCCCCTCTGTCCCTGTGCGCTAACCACCCTGTCCTCCCCTCTCACCCCGTGCCCTAACCCTCCTTACGGCCCACTGTCCCTGTCCGCTGACCACTCTGACTTCCGCTCTCCCCCGTGCACTAAGCCATTTTGCCGCCCCTCTGTCCTGTGCACTAACCACCCTGCTTTCCCGTCTCACCCCATGCACTAACCCACCTTGCTGCCCCTCTGTCCCTGTGCGCTACCCACCCTACCTTCCCCCCCTCACCCCATGCCCTTACCCACCTTGCTGACCCTCTCTCCCTGAGCGCTAACCACCCTGGCTTCCCCTCTCCCCCCAGTGCACTAACCCACCCTGCTGCCCTCTGTCCTGTTAGCTAACCCTGCCTACCCTCTCACCCCGTGCTCCAACCCTCCTTGCTGCCCCTCTGTCCCTGTGCGCTGACCACTCTGACTTCCCTTCCCCCCCCGTGCACTAACCCACCTTGCTGCCCCTTTGTCCCTGTGCACTAACCACTGTGCTTTCCCGTCTCACCCAGGGCTTATTTTATCAGAGTAAATCACTCTGATTCTCTGAAAATCAGAGTCGTTTTTGAAAACCACTCTGATGGTCCTGGGTAAAATTTTGAAAGTATAAGTTTTCTCTGATTTATCAGAGTTGGCCTATGTACCACCCTGAAGAGTTTTCAATGGGGGGGATGCCTCCTAGATTTTTCCCTGTTCTCTCGGTATTCGGCTAGTCCTCCGACTGCCAGTCACACCCTCCCATACCCCACGTACCCTGGATAATTTTGACTAAGTCCTTCGCAACTGGTCACATCCCGCCTCATACCCGCCGTAACCTGGAAAATTTCGGCTAAGTCCTCTGTAACCAGTCACAACACACTTATACCTCACGCAACCTAGGCCACATTCCTCCTTCCCACACCCAACCCAACCTAGCCCAGCTGTGTTCAGTGCTGTCCGACTAGCCCTTACCGTCAATCATGCTACATTTCACGTGTGTAACTTGGCACGGGGTTGACACGTAAACATTGCAGCAAAGGCGATTGGTACAGCACATGCGCCAGCCAATCACTGGCGTATTGTTTCTGTACTTCACTCACAGGCAGACAGGATTGGTTGTGTTATTCCACGCGAAATGCTTGCCAGCGCGAGATGCAGTGCTGACTGAGGACGCGTTTTGTACCTGAGGCGAGCCCCAAGGGAAGAATTCGGGGCATCAAATATAGGTACGGCGAGAGCCCCTAAGCCAGCACTTTGGGTCATCTGGTCCGTCAAACTGATGCCCCGAAGTCCTGCCTAGGGACTCCCCGAGTACAGAACGTGCCCAGTCGAAGTATTTCGGAGCAGAGCCTGGATGATTTTTTTGGCAGATGCCGGCCGAGACATCCCAGTTTCCAGCCGACTGTACTGGGCAGATTTCGGCCGAAATCTCTATAAATCTACACTTTTCAGCGTTCATTCAGCACAAGTCTTGGGCACGGAATTGTAGGGGTTGTGTATATGGCACGCGCCTAGAAAAAAGTATGGTGCGATTTGGCAGTCTTCCTGGATAAAGCACCACGTTGCGAAATAGTCGTGGGGAGTGAATCCTGGGCATCAGAGTTTTTATTTGAAAAGTGTGAAAAAAAACCCTGACAAATCAGAGTTCGAGCTCCAGGGCACTCTGAAAATCAGAGTTTGGCCAGGAGTCACTCGTGAAAATCAGAGTGGTGAAAAACCAAAGATAAAGCCCTGGTCTCACCCCATGCACTAACCCACCTCGCTGCCCCTCTGTTCCTGTGCACTAAACACCCTGGCTTCCCCTCTTCCCCTGGTGCCCTAACCACCTTGCTGCCCCTCTGACCCTGTGCGCTAACCACTCTGACTTCCCCTCTCCCTCCGTTGCACTATCCAACATTGCCTCCCCTCTGGCCCTGTGCACTAACCACCCTGTCCTACCCTCTCAGACTTAGGATCTATCCTAACCCGCGTCGTCCATCTCCTCTCGACACATCAGGCAAAGAGTCGTAATCACTAGCACCAGATGAACCTTCCCCCTTCGCACCTTCACTTGGATTCGTCATCATCGCATCCATGTTCCCCACTCTTGTCTTAGTTTCCTTGTTTGTTCTCTGCTTCGTTATGGCTTGCAGGTTGTCTCCCCCGTTCACCAGGGTGCTGTTTTGTCTCAGATTGCTCCCCTCAGCCACCCCTCTCTGGTGGGGGTATCCTATTGCAGCATCTTTTTGAATCCGGAGTGTAATTATTCAAGAATGCCAGCCAACTAGCTCGGAGCTTTACTACTCATATTTTGATAGCATGTTACATTCTATGTGTAATACTACAAACATGCACTGTGCGTGGGGGGTTGTGGGAGAAGATGTGGCTCTCATTTCCCTCCATGCCGATATTGCAAGGCGGGATGCCTCCTGACAGTTTCTCAACTAACCTAGTGAAAGTCATTGGGTTTGGCCAATGGCTCAAAATACACTTTGCTGCATTGCCTAGATCATGCATGTGCCGGTGATAGTCTTTTGTAGCTGCTTTTGGGATGGAATCTGAGCACAAAGGCCCAGTCGTTGCATTCCGCAAAAGAAAGCGTAGCCGAGGGAGTTTATGCTGGGATGCGCCATTGTGCTGGTCCTGGAGCCCGAAACTGGGAGTCGGGTCATGATGATGTGGAGACGTAGAAGAGGGGGGGGGGGGGGGGGGGGGTGAGGGGGAGGTGGGTGGGTCTTTGTGGGAAACTCGTGTCGCCTTTATCCCATAACCTTTAGTTATCACCCCATACAATGACCCACCTTGCCGCCCCTCTGTCCCTGTACGCTAACCACCCTGCCTTCCCCTCTCACCCCGTGCTCTAACCCTCCTTGCTGCCCCTCTGTCCCTGTACGCTAACCACTCTGCCTTCCCCTCTCACCCCGTGCAGTAACCCCCCTTGCTGCCCCTCTCTCCCTGTGCACTAACCACCCTGCCTTCCCTTCTCACCCTGTGCAGTAACCCCCTTCCTGCCCCTCTTTCCCTGAGCGCTAACCACCCAGACTTCCCCTCTCCCCTGGTGCATGCGAGGCAGACAGGGGAGGCAAGGCGGAGAGGGGAGGCGTGGCGGAGAGGGGAGGCGAGGTGGAGAGGGAAGGCAAGGCAGAGAGGGGAGGCGAGGCGTAGAGGGGAGGCGAGGCAGAGAGTGGAGGGGGGGCGAGTCAGAGAGGGGAGGCGAGGCAAAGAGGGGAGGAAAGGCAGAGAGGGGAGGCGTGGCGGAGAGGGGAGGCGAGGCGGAGGGGGAGGCGAGGCAGAGAGGGGAGGCGAGGCGGAGAGGGGAGGTGAGGCAGAAAGGGGAGGGTGGTTAGCGTACAGGGACAGAGGGGAAGCAAGGAGGGCTAGTGCATGGGGCGAGAGGGGACGGCAGGGTGGTTAGCGCACAGGGACAGAGGGCCTCTCCGCCTCGCCTCCCCTCTCCGCCTCGCCTCCCCTCTCTGCTCGCCTCCCCTCTCTGCCTTGCCTCTCCTCTACGCCTCACCTCCCCTCTCCGCCACGCCTCCCCTCTCTGTCTCGCCTCCCCTCTACGCCTCGCCTCCCCTCTCTGCCTTGCCTGCCCTCTCCGCCTCGCCTCCCCTCTCCGCCTCGCCTCCCCTCTCTGCCTCGCCTCCCCCCTCTGCCTCGCCTCCCCAATCTGCTTGCCTCCCCTCTCTGCCTCGCCCCCCCTCTCTGCCTTGCCTCTCCTCTACGCCTCGCCTCCCCTCTCCGCCTCGCCTCCCCTCTCAGCCTCGCCTCCCTCTCAGCCTCGCCTCCCCCATCTGCCTCGCCTCCCCCCTCTGCTTGCCTCCCCTCTCCGACTCGCCCCCCCTCTCTGCCTCGCCACCCTTCTCCGCCACGCCTCCCCCTTCTGCTCGCCTCCCCTCTCAGCCTCGCCTCCCCCTCTGCCTCGCCTCCCCTCTCTGCCTCGCCCCCCTCTCTGCCTCGCCTCCCTCTCCGCCTCGCCTCCCCTCTCCGCCACACCTCCCTCTCCGCCTCGCCTCCCCTCTCAGCCTCGCCTCCCCTCTCAGCCACACCTCCCCTCTCCGCCTCGCCTCCCCTCTCAGCCTCGCCTCCCCTCTCAGCCTCGCCTCCCCTCTCCGCCTCGCCTCCCCCTCTGCCTCGCCTCCCCCTCTGCTTGCCTCCCCTCTCTGACTCGCCCCCCCTCTCTGCCTCGCCTCCCCTCTCTGCCTCGCCCCCCCTCTCTGCCTCGCCTCCCCTCTCTGCCTCGCCTCCCCCCTCTGCCTCGCCTCCCCCCTCTGCTTGCCTCCCCTCTCTGATTCGCCCCCCCTCTCTGCCTCGCCTCCCCTCTCCGCCACGCCTCCCTCTCTGCCTCGCCTCCCTCCCCACCTCGCCACCCCTCTCCGCCACGCCTCCCCTTCTGCCTCGCCTCCCCTCTCAGCCACACCTCCCCTCTCCGCCTCGCCTCCCCTCTCCGCCACACCTCCCCTCTCCGCCTCGCCTCCCCTCTCAGCCTCCCCTCCCCTCTCAGCCTCGCCTCCCCTCTCCGCCTCGCCTCCCCCCTCTGCCTCGCCTCCCCCCTCTGCTTGCCTCCCCTCTCTGACTCGCCCCCCTCTCTGCCTCGCCTCCCCTCTCTGCCTCGCCCCCCCTCTCTGCCTCGCCTCTCCTCTCTGCCTCGCCTCCCCTCCCCACCTCGCCACCCCTCTCCGCCACGCCTCCCCCTTCTGCCTCGCCTCCCCTCTCCGCCACACCTCCCCTCTCCGCCTCGCCTCCCCTCTCAGCCTCGCCTCCCCTCTCAGCCTCGCCTCCCCTCTCCGCCTCGCCTCCCCCCTCTGCCTCGCCTCCCCCCTCTGCTTGCCTCCCCTCTCTGATTCGCCCCCCCTCTCTGCCTCGCCTCCCCTCTCCGCCACGCCTCCCCTCTCTGCCTCGCCTCCCCTCCCCACCTCGCCACTCCTCTCCGCCACGCCTCCCCCTTCTGCCTCGCCTCCCCTCTCAGCCACACCTCCCCTCTCCGCCTCGCCTCCCCTCTCCGCCACACCTCCCCTCTCCGCCTCGCCTCCCCTCTCAGCCTCGCCTCCCCTCTCAGCCTCGCCTCCCCTCTCCGCCTCGCCTCCCCCCTCTGCCTCGCCTCCCCCTCTGCTTGCCTCCCCTCTCTGACTCGCCCCCCCTCTCTGCCTCGCCTCCCCTCTCTGCCTCGCCCCCCCTCTCTGCCTCGCCTCTCCTCTCTGCCTCGCCTCCCCTCCCCACCTCGCCACCCCTCTCCGCCACGCCTCCCCCTTCTGCCTCGCCTCCCCTCTCCGCCACACCTCCCCTCTCCGCCTCGCCTCCCCTCTCAGCCTCGCCTCCCCTCTCAGCCTCGCCTCCCCCTCTCCGCCTCGCCTCCCCCCTCTGCCTCGCCTCCCCCCTCTGCTTGCCTCCCCTCTCTGACTCGCCCCCCTCTCTGCCTCGCCTCCCCTCTCCGCCACGCCTCCCCTCTACGCCTCGCCTCCCCTCCCCACCTCGCCACCCCTCTCCGCCACGCCTCCCCCTTCTGCCTCGCCTCCCCTCTCAGCCTCGCCTCCCCTCTCCGCCTCGCCTCCCCTCTCAGCCTCGCCTCACCGCTCTGCCTCGCCTCCCCTCTCCGCCTCGCCTCCCCTCTCTGCCACGCTTCTTATCCCGCGTGGCTCCCCCTCCCACTTCGCTTCGTATGTTGCATTGCTCCCCTTCTCAACCCGCCTCCTATCTCGCGGTGCTTCCCCTCATCCCCCCTCGCCGCTCTCCTCTCTTTAGGCGCCTCTCTCCTCTCCCGCCACCTCTCTCCTCCCGCGTCTCCTGTCTCACCTCCCGCCATCTCTCTCCTCCCTCCTCGCCTTTATCCCCTCTCCTCGCCTACCTCCTCTCGCGCCGCCGCTTTCAGCCATGTCTAGCCCGTGCCTTTCGCGTGTTGCT